TTTGGATGGTGCTGTGGATGGTGCTGTGGATGGTGTTGTGGATGGTGGTGTGGATGGTGCTGTGAATGTTGCTGTGAATGTTGTTGTGGATGTTGTTGTGGATGGTGTTGTGGATGGTGCTGTGGATGGTGCTGTGGATGGTGTTGTGGATGGTGCTATGGATGGTATTGTGGATGGTGCTGTGGATGGTGCTGTGGATGGTGTTGTGGATGGTGTTGTGAATGGTGTTGTGGATGGTGTTGTGAATGGTGCTGTGGATGGTGTTGTGAATGGTGTTGTGAATGGTGTATTGGATGGTGTTATGGATGGTGTTGTGGATGGTGCTGTGGATGGTGTTGTGGATGGTGCTGTGGATGGTGTTGTGGATGGTGCTGTGGATGGTGCTGTGGATGGTGTTGTGGATGGTGCTGTGAATGGTGTTGTGAATGGTGCTGTGGATGGTGTTGTGGATGGTGCTGTGGATGGTGTTGTGGATGGTGTTGTGAATGGTGTTGTGAATGGTGCTGTGGATGGTGTTGTGGATGGTGCTGTGGATGGTGTTGTGGATGGTGTTGTGGATGGTGTTGTGAATGGTGTTGTGGATGGTGTTGTGAATGGTGCTGTGGATGGTGTTGTGAATGGTGTTGTGAATGGTGTATTGGATGGTGTTATGGATGGTGTTGTGGATGGTGCTGTGGATGGTGTTGTGGATGGTGCTGTGGATGGTGTTGTGGATGGTGCTGTGGATGGTGCTGTGGATGGTGTTGTGGATGGTGCTGTGAATGGTGTTGTGAATGGTGCTGTGGATGGTGTTGTGGATGGTGCTGTGGATGGTGTTGTGGATGGTGCTGTGGATGGTGTTGTGGATGGTGCTGTGGATGGTGTTGTGGATGGTGTTGTGGATGGTGTTGTGGATGGTGCTGTGGATGGTGCTGTGGATGGTGTTGTGGATGTTGCTGTGAATGGTGCTTTGGATGGTGCTGTGGATGGTGCTGTGGATGGTGTTGTGAATGGTGCTGTGGATGGTGTTGTGGATGGTGCTGTGGATGGTGCTGTGGATGGTGTTGTGGATGGTGCTGTGGATGGTGCTGTGGATGTTGCTATGGATGGTGTTGTGGATGGTGTTGTGAATGGTGCTGTGGATGGTGTTGTGGATGGTGTTGTGGATGGTGTTGTGAATGGTGCTGTGGATGGTGCTGTGGATGGTGTTGTGGATGGTGTTGTGAATGGTGTTGTGGATGGTGTTGTGAATGGTGCTGTGGATGGTGTTGTGGATGGTGCTGTGGATGGTGTTGTGGATGGTGTTGTGGATGGTGTTGTGGATGGTGCTGTGGATGGTGCTGTGGATGTTGCTATGGATGGTATTGTGGATGGTGTTGTGAATGGTGTTGTGAATGGTGCTGTGGATGGTGCTGTGGATGGTGTTGTGGATGGTGTTGTGAATGGTGTTGTGGATGGTGTTGTGAATGGTGCTGTGGATGGTGTTGTGGATGGTGCTGTGGATGGTGTTGTGGATGGTGTTGTGGATGGTGTTGTGGATGGTGCTGTGGATGGTGCTGTGGATGTTGCTATGGATGGTATTGTGGATGGTGTTGTGAATGGTGTTGTGGATGGTGTTGTGGATGGTGTTGTGGATGGTGCTGTGAATGGTGTTGTGGATGGTGGTGTGGATGGTGCTGTGAATGTTGCTGTGAATGGTGTTGTGGATGTTGTTGTGGATGGTGTTGTGGATGGTGTTGTGGATGGTGCTGTGGATGGTGCTGTGGATGGTGTTGTGGATGGTGTTGTGGATGGTGTTATGGATGGTGCTGTGGATGGTGTTGTGGGTGGTGGTGTGGATGGTGCTGTGAATGTTGCTGTGAATGGTGTTGTGGATGTTGTTGTGGATGGTGTTGTGGATGGTGTTGTGGATGGTGCTGTGGATGGTGCTGTGAATGGTGTTGTGGATGGTGTTGTGGATGGTGTTGTGGATGGTGTTGTGGATGGTGTTGTGGATGGTGCTGTGAATGGTGCTTTGGATGGTGCTGTGGATGGTGCTGTGGATGGTGTTGTGGATGGTGGTGTGGATGGTGCTGTGAATGTTGCTGTGAACGGTGTTGTGGATGTTGTTGTGGATGGTGTTGTGGATGGTGTTGTGGATGGTGCTGTGGATGGTGCTGTGAATGGTGTTGTGGATGGTGTTGTGGATGGTGTTGTGGATGGTGTTGTGGATGGTGTTGTGGATGGTGCTGTGAATGGTGCTTTGGATGGTGCTGTGGATGGTGCTGTGGATGGTGTTGTGGATGGTGGTGTGGATGGTGCTGTGAATGTTGTTGTGGATGTTGTTGTGGATGGTGTTGTGGATGGTGCTGTGGATGGTGCTGTGGATGGTGTTGTGGATGTTGTTGTGGATGGTGTTGTGGATGGTGCTGTGGATGGTGCTGTGGATGTTGCTATGGATGGTATTGTGGATGGTGCTGTGGATGGTGTTGTGGATGGTGCTATGGATGGTATTGTGGATGGTGCTGTGGATGGTGCTGTGGATGGTGTTGTGGATGGTGTTGTGAATGGTGTTGTGGATGGTGTTGTGAATGGTGCTGTGGATGGTGTTGTGAATGGTGTTGTGAATGGTGTATTGGATGGTGTTATGGATGGTGTTGTGGATGGTGCTGTGGATGGTGTTGTGGATGGTGCTGTGGATGGTGTTGTGGATGGTGCTGTGGATGGTGTTGTGGATGGTGTTGTGAATGGTGCTGTGGATGGTGTTGTGAATGGTGTTGTGGATGGTGCTGTGGATGGTGTTGTGGATGGTATTGTGGATGGTGCTGTGGATGGTGCTGTGGATGGTGTTGTGGATGGTGTTGTGAATGGTGTTGTGGATGGTGTTGTGAATGGTGCTGTGGATGGTGTTGTGAATGGTGTTGTGAATGGTGTATTGGATGGTGTTATGGATGGTGTTGTGGATGGTGCTGTGGATGGTGTTGTGGATGGTGCTGTGGATGGTGTTGTGGATGGTGCTGTGAATGGTGTTGTGGATGGTGTTGTGGATGTTGTTGTGGATGGTGCTGTGGATGGTGCTGTGAATGGTGTTATGAATGGTGTTGTGGATGGTGTTGTGGATGGTGCTGTGGATGGTGCTGTGGATGGTGTTGTGGTTGGTGCTGTGGATGGTGCTGTGAATGGTGTTATGAATGGTGCTGTGAATTGTGCTATGAATGGTGTTGTGGATGGTGTTGTGGATGATGTTGTGGATGGTGCTGTGGATGGTGCTGTGGATGGTGCTGTGGATGGTGCTGTGAATGGTGCTGTGAATGGTGTTGTGAATGGTGTTATGAATGGTGTTGTGGATGGTGTTGTGGATGGTGCTGTCGATGGTGCTGTGGATGGTGCTGTGGATGGTGCTGTGAATGGTGTTATGAATGGTGCTGTGAATGGTGTTGTGAATGGTGCTATGGATGGTAGTGTGGATGGTGCTGTGAATGGTGTTGTGGATGGTGCTGTGGATGGTGCTGTGGATGGTGTTGTGGATGGTGCTGTGGATAGTGCCTTTCATTATATTTTCTGCCGTGGCAGGATATTCTAGGACTGGGCTATAATGAGGAACCCAGTGGACTAATTGCTGAACCTACTGGGTGGACTAATTGCTGAACCTACTGGGTGGACTAATTGCTGAACGTACAGGGTGTACTAATTTCTGAACCTATAGGATGGACTTATTGCTGGCTAATTTTCTGCTGTAACTGCCTGTAGTGAGATGGTGCTGTTGCTGGAGGTCATGTCCTTATTTATACTGCTGTTAATCCTGCTTTTGATGCTGTTGGTGCTGTTGCTGCTGTGGATTCTGTTGCTGCTGTGGCTGCTGTTGCTGCTGTGGATTCTGTTGCTGCTGTGGCTGCTGTTGCTGCTGTTGCTGCTGTTGCTGCTGTTGCTGCTGTTGATCTTGCTGCTATTGTTGCTGCTTTTGCTGTTGCCGCTGTTGTTGTTGCTGCTGCTGCAGTTGCTGTTGTTGTTGCTGCTGCTGTAGTTGCTGTTGCTGTTGTTGCTGCTGTTGTTGTTGCTGCTGCTGCAGTTGCTGCTGTTGTTGTTGTTGTTGTTGTTGTTGTTGTTGTTGTTGTTGTTGTTGTTGTTGTTGTTGTTGTTGTTGTTGTTGTTGTTGCTACAGTTCCTGTTGTAGTTGCTGTAGTTGCTGCTGCTGCTGTTGCTGTTGTTGCTGTTGTTGCTGCTGCTGTTGCCGCTGTTGCTGTTCTTACTGTTGCTGCTTTTGCTGCTGTTGCCGCTGCTGTGGCTGCTCCTGCTGTTGCTGTTGCTATTGCTGCTGTTACTGCTGCTGCTGTTCCTGCTGTTGCTGTTTCTGCTGTCGCTGCTTCTGATGGTGCTGTTGCTGCTGTGCTGTTGCTGCTGTGCTGTGCTGTTGCTGCTGTGCTGTTGCTCATGTTGTTGTTGCTGTTGTTGCTGCTGTTGCCGCATTTGCTGTTTCTCTCGTTGACAGCAGCCATAGTACTGTTGCGGGTGTTGTTATTTCTGCTAAATGTATGGACTAACTGGACTAACTGGACTAACTGGACTAACTGGACTAACTGGACTAACTGGACTAACTGGCCATCATACATGTAAATACACATGTATAGCTATATAGTGTGTATGATTGCAGAAGGGTGCACTGAGTGTGGTGAGAGTGCTCGAATGGGAAGGCCGCACAGCGGAACAAGTCTCAATATCCACCTTCCACACCAACATGATTGTACTTGTACATGTGATGTAGGTATGCGTTCTGCCAGGATCAACACTATCTCCATGTTGCATGATGATTGCAATCAGCATGGACACACACACAGAGTTGCAACGAACAAGCCTTCTTCCACTGATCTACTACCAATGTGGATATTTTGTTTAAACATACATTTAGCAAATGAGAAAACAGGAGATGGTATGCCTATTCTCATATTCGTCGTCTCTTTGTCTCTTGCTGCTGCCACTGTTCACGCTGCCACTGTTGCCGCTGTCGCTGCCATGTTGTCTTTTGTTGTGAATATAATGGATAGGTGGCGCATCTCCCTGGAGATCCACCTCAGGTCTCCGGCATGGGTAGACACACAGCACCCGGCGGCAGCAGCAGTCATCCTCCTTTCCCAGGAGTGGATCCGAATCAAATGCAATGGGTGCACTATCAGTTTGGCCAGCAGCAGCAGCAACAGGTTCCTGGTGCTGCATTGAGAGGTCAGTCAAATTACACTATAGATGGTAGTCTCTGTATCAGTGTGTAACATGCTTTGGGTTTGATCACAAACAAGATGTATGCTTTGTTTCCACATCCATCTCAATCGATCTCTTTCATTGCAACATTCAAAACAAGAGTGAGTGGTTGCCTGTCCCACTTTTGTATTTCGTTATTTGAAAGAATCAGGTTTTAGCATATTAGCACATGCCATTTGCAGGCACAGTGGGTTGGTCTAAGACCATGATTGAGAAACGAGAGGTACCAGGTTCAAGTCCTGCTTGGAAGCGGAAGGATTTTTTCCAACCGTGCTGCGACCCACAGTTAATTGGGAACTCGTGGCCTGGCACGAGTAAAACATGGATGTGGCAAATGATATTTAGGCCTTTGGCCTATGGTTGGTGGATCTGATCTATCCTCCCCCACCGTTTAGGAGCCACATCTGACGCCTAATCATGGGGTGGTGGCGTCCCACGGAAGCGGAAAGGTGGTTCTTGACCAGGGAGTTGTACGACTCCTTGTTCTTGACCTACCCGGTATGTGAACCCGTCGAAAAAAAGAAGAAAAAAAGCATATGCCATTTGGTGTTAGCTCATTGTGACTTCATGCTTACCGCGGCCCGAGCAAGCCACATCTGTACAATCTGAAGACTGCTTGTTGTTGTTGTTGTTGTTGTTGTTGTTGTTGTTGTTGTTGTTGTTGTTGTTGTTGTTGTTGTTGTTGTTGTTGTTGTTGTTGTGTTTATTTTAATTCTCAAACCAAACGGGCAGATCTGCCCAATGAAAAGGTGGCGAATGCAGATAGAAAGCAGTAATTAATGAAATTGGGGAGGGATGTAATAAGGATAGAGGTGGAGAAAACTAAGCCAGCTGATCATCAAACAGGACGTTTGGTACTCTAGGTACTAAGGGTGTGCGGGATCATGCTGGCGCGTAACTGGCGGAGCGTGTCGCGAAGCGAGATAGTTTAATTTTGCTATTTTACATGTTTTAGTTCATGTTTCGGCACTGCAGCAATCTGTAGCTTTCTCTTAGTCTATAAGGTACATATTGTACTGTGAACTCTGTACGGCAAGTTCTGCCACATGCACAGTTTGTAGCCTCAGACCCTCTAGGTTTACACAGCCATGCCAGAGCTCGCTTTTTTCCCAACTGCTGCATACTGCTCTCCCAAAATAATGAAGTGTGCGTGCTCCGTACGATGTTGCACTGCCACGTTCACTTATCGTATAAATTCTCTTTCAGTCCGAGCAAATAAATCAGTTATCAACTCATCTCCTAACTGTGCACTTGCGGGTTTGTGCCGGTTAGTGACATGGTGCCGAAACCTGCTTCCTAGTTCCTTGCCACTGCCCCCCAACCGAGCCTTGCTCCTGGTTGACTCGCCCTTTGGGGTTTGAGTTGTGAAAATGGGCGGCACAAGATTGCCGACGGCTATCCAGACGAGCAAGCGTGCTCTCAAGCTCCTGTACGAAGAGCTGCAGGAGGAGACGACAGTTGGCGAAGATCTGCTAGCAGGAACCAAACCCGTCAACCAGATAAGTCTGTTTCTTTGTGGTTTAAAGGAATTGTTGGAAAGAACGGAAGCTAACTTGAATGATTTTGTTGAGAATGTGGAGGAATATGAGCCAAAGGGTAAAGACAACAAAGAGATTAAGAATGGTTTGGAGGATGAGGCTCGGTTATGGACAGAGACACTAGAGAAGGGTTTCAAACTCCAGAGAAAATTGAGAAAAATGGAAGTGGCATCAGGCGTCCAGCCTACAATGCAGACAGACTCTACCTTGCTTGAGATTACGAAATTGATTGGGACGCAAGCTAACACCCAAGAGTCAACCCAAAATCTTCTAAAGAGATTGGTAGAGCGGGATACTAGACCCATAGTAGAGCGGGATACTATAACCGAATCGAAGCCCCAGACAACTGCCAGATTACCCAAATTGGAGCTAAAGCATTTTGATGGGGACATAATGGAGTTCCAAGAGTTTTGGAACATTTTCGATGCTACTATTCATGACAACTCCTCCTTGTCACCAGTTGAAAAATTGAGCTATCTCCGTGAATGTGTGGGAGGGAAAGCACAAGGCGTGCTGAAAGGTTTAAGAATCTGTAATGCAAATTATGAAGTTGCCCGGGATCTGCTTGAGAAGAGGTACGGGAGTAAGCAAGCTACGGTGGATGCCCACTACACCGCTTTAATGGAGATGTCAGCCTGCACCTCAAAAATCGAAAGTTTGAGGTCTTGTGTTGACAAAATTGAAGTGCACCTCAGGAGCCTTGAAGCACAAGATGAGGATGTATCGCAAAAGGTCTTCATTACAATAATCTTAAAAGCAAGCTCCCGACTGATGTGAAATTACAACTTGAGCTCACCAAACAGAACGATGAATGGACAATTAGTGGGTTGCGTTTGGCACTATCGCACTTACTAAAGGCAAAAGAGAATGCAGAAGGACCAGCCGCATGCAATGGTCAACAATCATGGCAACATGCCAATCACTCAACGAAGCTGCTATCAACAGGGCAGTCTCTACTTGCGGGTGCTGGTGTAGCTCGTACTATCAAATGTATGTATTGTGATGGAAGCATTGCTCTGATGAATGTCAAATGTACAAATCATTAGATGAACGGAAAACACGGTTGGGTATGAAATGCTACATCTGTCTGAATGCGGGACATAGAGCAAGAGCTTGCATGAATGCTAGAACATGCTACCATTGCAAACGCAAATCCCACCACAGAAGTCTGTGTCCACAGAAGTTTAAGTCAAATGAAGAGCGAACAAATGATGGGAAGCATCATGGTGATGGACAAAACAGGCACACACATTGAACGCAATGGCAGAGACATTTGAACCAACACAAGATCAGGCAATGGTTTCTCACACACAAGGGCACAGGGTTCTAATGCAAACTGCTTTGACTACTGCAACAAATGAGGAAGGCAACAGGTCACAGACTGTAAGGATCTTGTTTGACACGGGTTCATCGAGAACATACGTTAGTGAGAATGTCAACAAAGCATTGGGACTCAAACAAGAAGGAAGTGACAGAATTTCACTTGCAACCTTTGGCGCAACACACAGATCGGTAAAGGAATACCCTGTAGTCAATGTGCACATCAAGCAGAAGAATGGTGAATTAGCTTCCATACAGGCAAATGTTATCAACAACATTTCATGTCCACTACAGAAAGTACCTTTGAGCACAGCAAAGCACTCTAGCTTACAGAAGCTTATCTTAGCAGAGCCTCTATGCAATACACCTGAAGCAATGCCTATTGATATCTTAATTGGAGCTGACCAATACTTTCAATTTGTTGGCAGCGAAAAATTGGAATACCCAGATGGTCTCATTTTGATCGATTCCACTCTTGGGTTTTTGGTGGCAGGCAAGGTGAAATCGAACGGAAATGATGATCACACACTAATGTGCCACGAGGCGCTCTCGTTATTTGCGGCAGAAGCATGTGCACCGAAAGAATTCGACTTGGAACGGTTTTGGAATCTTGAAAATGTTGGCATCAGTGAGAAAGAAATGGAAACGGAGAATGATCAAGTCAAAGGTAACCGCACGAAAGTTCCAGGCATGGGCTGGGATACCGAGGATGACGTAATTTGGGTACCACCGCCAAGGGCATTTCATGAGATCGAAACAAAACGTCAGCTACTGCAATGTATTTCGTCAGTATTCGACCCAATGGGTGTAGTCAGTCCTGTCACGGTTGAGGCAAAAATCATCATGCAGGAGCTTTGGAAGAGAAAATTTGGGTGGGATGATATCTTACCAGATGATGTACGCAAAGAATGCCAGAAATTGTGTGATTCACTGTTGTCTCTTAGTGGAATAAAATTGCCAAGGTTTGTGGGTGCTCGAAACAATGACGGTTGAACTCCCAAGTATGAACTACACGTTTTTACTGACGCATCCGCACATGCGTATGGTGCAGCTGCGTACCTACTCACTACCTGTGGCGATAATGTTTCAGTCGACCTGATATTTAGCAAGAGTCACATTGCGCCAACCAAACCCACATCCATTCCTAGGTTGGAACTCTTTGCTGTAGTACTTGGTACAAATATGGTCAAATTTCTTAGAGAGCAAGTACCATTCGAGCTCAACAAGACGCACATATGGACCGACTCAAAATGTGCACTAGCATGGGTAACGGGAAATCAACAGCGGCCGCAATTTATTGCAAGAAGAATTAGAACCATTCACGAGGTGAATAATGTCATGTACGGTCATGTTTCTGGGAAAGAAAATCCAGCTGATATTGTTTCTCGAGGAGCTAATGCAACGAGTTTACAGCAGAACACCTTGTGGTGGGAGGGTCCAACGTGGTTGAAGTCTGGTTCCTATCTAGAAAGTTTGTTTCCAGCAATGCAAGCTACGGAAAGTGAAAGGCCAATTTGCGAGGAAAATGCGGACGAAGGTCCCTCTCCCGAATCGGCCTTTGTTAGCAATGAACACAATGAGGTAGTCAGCTGTGAGAAGTTCTCCTCGTTTTCTAAGCTTGTGAGAGTGAATGCATGGGTACAACGGTTCATACGGAAACTCAAACACGAAAAGTCGGAAAGTGAAACGAATCTCACAGCTGAAGAAATCGGAATGTCAAGAGTAGCTTTCATTCGGTATCATCAAGCTCAGCACTTTGGAAATGAAATCAAGGCAATAGAACAAGGCAAGCAACATCAGCTCGTCGATGCTTTGGGTCTCTTTCTTGATATTGGTTTAATCCGATGTAAGGGTAGACTGGAGTATTCTCACCTACCATTCGAAAGTAAATTTCCTCTATTGCTAGCTTATGGTTCACACTTAACGAGGTTAATTGTAATGGAGCAGCACATCTCACTTAAACATTCGGGTGTTAGTCAGACATTGGCTGAATTGAGACGGAATTACTGGGTGCCTAAAGGTCGAGCAATGGTTAGACGGGTGATTAAGGAATGTCTTTTGTGTAAACGCCATCATGGAAAGCCATTTGTAACACCACAATTTGCACCATTGCCTGAGGAACGGCTTGTCCCTGGGAGTGTGTTCGAATCTGTTGGGCTTGATCACTTTGGGCCAATGTATGTGAAAACGGAAACTGAAACAGCTTAAGTGTGGGTATGCATCCTCACTTGCCTAACTACCAGAGCTATTCATATGGAATTAGTTCGCAATATGTCTACTGAGAAATTCCTAATGTGTTTCAGACGGTTCATTTCATGAAGAGGTACACCGAAGTACATAGTAAGTGATAATGCCAAGCAATTCAAGCTGTCTAAGAATGTTATTGATCTTCTCTGGCTTGAGTCAATTCAACATAATGATGTAATGGAATTCATTGCGGGAAAAGGTATTAAATGGAAATACATCACTGAGTTAGCTCCTTGGATGGGTGGTGTTTAGGAACGCATGATTGGTATTGTGAAACGATCTCTGAAGAAATCAATTGGAACTGAACAGCTTACATTCTGTCAACTTGAAACTTTGCTAATTGAGATTGAGGCAATTGTCAATTCTAGACCACTGGTATACGTTGGTGAGGACTTCACAATCGATCATGTTCTCACGCCTGCCAATTTCTTAACTGGGCATAGTTCTCTTGGTCAGCCTAACTTTGTCATTACAGATGACCCTGACTACATCACACATGTCAGTAATGCTCAACAACTCGTCAACCTGTGGAAACAGCAGCAGAAATGTCTCAACATTTTCTGGGAGAAGTGGTCGGCAGAGTATTTGCAGACCACAACAACACAGTCAACGAAATTCCAATAGCTTCAAGCCAAGTGTCAACTGCATTGTTCTGATCAAGGATGTTGATCGGCCGCGCAGCTGCTGGAAAATAGGAAGAATCGCGCAGCTACACCAAAGCACAGACGGCGAAGTGCGTTCAGTGACGCTACGTATGCCATCTGGGACTTCCATGAACCGGCCGGTAAGCCATCTCTATCCGTTAGAGTGTTCATCAGGCGAAGTAACCACTGTTGAAGTGCCAGAGCCTACAATTGCGCCACTGCTTGAACGTCCGCGACGCAATGCAGCAACAGCAGCTACAATACGCACCCGTGATCTGATCAAAGATGGACAAGTATAGTAGCCATATGAATTAACTGCATGTACCTGGTACTTATGTGAACAGTTGCCAGTGTTCTTGTTTATGTTTTTCTAAATTTCATTATGATAGTAATATCTACATTGCTTACGGTTCAGTTATTGAGTTCCCATCATGCAAACCTAGCTCTCGATTAATTAAGGTTGTGTTGTGACATACCGTAAATACTGTAACAGTAATGATGAAACTAGCCCCAGAACTTCGAAAAGCTTAGATATAGTTTCTTGCATTTGTTCTTTAAAGGGGAAGTTAAGGCAAAAATTAAAATTTCACCAGTTGTAGTCTTCGGGGTGCTGAGTCGAATGGTCTTGGTCCGAGAAAGCTGAGACGCTCCCTTCCTACTTGAATCCCAATCGAACTCGCGCACTTCCACCGAAACTGGGTGACTGCGCCCTACGAGATGGGGATTTGTATGCAAAATGTCACTAAAGCGCCATTTCGTTCTTATAAAAGCACGGATGACCGCGATTTGCCCATATGTTGTAGTCTTTTGGACGCTGAGTCGACTGGTTTTGGTCCGAAAAGGCTGCGATGCAGCGTTCCTCCTTTATTCCCAATCGAACATGGTTGAAGAAGCGGTCACGTGCTCCTGGGTGCCAAAATCACCTGGTCACCACACCAGCAGGCGACAACTTTCACACCAAGGTTCAACTCGAGTGACAGGACTGCACCCAAAAAAGGTCAAAACAGGCTGTAAGTTGTACCCTGCAGGCACGGTGACCAGGTGACTGGTGTACGCAGGAGCACGTGACCGCTTCTTCAACCATGTTCGATTGGGAATAAAAGAGGAACGCTGCATCGCAGCCTTTTCGGACCAAAACCAGTCGACTCAGCGTCCAAAAGACTACAACATATGGGCCAATCGCGGTCATCCGTGCTTTTATAAGAACGAAATGGCGCTTTTAGTGACATTTTGCATACAAATCCCCATCTCGTAGGGCGCAGTCACCCAGTTTCGGTGGAAGTGCGCGAGTTCGATTGGGATTCAAGTAGGAAGGGAGCGTCTCAGCTTTCTCGGACCAAGACCATTCGACTCAGCACCCCGAAGACTACAACTGGTGAAATTTTAATTTTTGCCTTAACTTCCCCTTTAAGTATTGAAGTATTTCCAGCTGGAAATCTGTTTCAGCTCTCTAGTCTTTTAACATGGTTCTTACGGCATCGCACAAATATGTGTTACTTATCTTCGCGGCGGGAGTGTCGCGAAGCGAGATAGTTTAATTTTGCTATTTTACATGTTTTAGTTCATGTTTCGGCACTGCAGCAATCTGTAGCTTTCTCTTAGCCTATATGTAGGACTCAGTGACCAGTCAAGGCCCCATGACCAATCACGGTCCCCGTGACCAGTCAAACAGTCACAAACTCCCCATGACCAGTCACAAATTAGGTTACCAGTCACAATGCCCCATGACCAGTCACAAATCACCATACATGTACATGTGTAAAGCACACAGTTCGTGACTGCTCGCGGAGTGCTTCGTACTGCAGGATTTGTTGTGGAAACTATAATTCCCTTTGAGCGGTCACAGAATACAGTTGTGACCACTATAATTCAAAGCGAACAGTTATATGCGGAATGTACAGTTGCGACCACTCTTTCTCAGTGAGTAGTCACAGGCAGAATAGGTATTTCTGTATTACAAAAGAGATTAGAAGCGTTGTCACAAATCTGAGTTTCACGTATTACTACGATCGTCAGGCAACTGATGGCTCCAAAACGGGCAGCCTGAACATAAGGGGGAGTAAGGTGGGAAATTCTGAGGGGTATCATAGGCGACGTGTATCATGTCGCAAGAGTCAGGTGCAGGCGTGAAGTTGCGAAGTCTTCAGACTTGGGGCTATGCAGCAGCATTTTCAGCGTGAATGATATAGAATAGAGCTGGGGACTTAAATGCCAAATCCACACATGCTCACACCATTACACACCCACACTCTGTCCCTTTCCTCACATACACGCACACACACACACACACACACACACTCTTTCTCACGCATGCACACACACACACACACTCACACATGCACGCGCACACTTACTCACACACACACACACACACACAAATTGGCAGCGGGACTACCAGCTAGATTCACGTGACCCTGCGGACAAAGTTACGGAGGTAGAACTTGTTTTCATGACGACACTTGGACACAAGTATTTCTGTATCACACACACACACTCACACACACAAATTGGCAGCGGGACTACCAGCTAGATTCACGTGACTCTGCGGACAAAGTTACGGAGGTAGAACTTGTTTTCATGACGACACTTGGACACAAGTATTTCTGTATCATTATTTTATCTCTTTTCAAACAATCCACAAGCCAAGAGGAGATGCGTAGACGGAAGAACCGTACTCTTGGTGATACTGATATGCCAGTTCAAGAACATCTCGTCAGACATACATATCGATACATGTCTGGTGCACTCTCACTAACAAGCAGGCATCGCAGGGTACATTCGCACCAGCAATCACAAAAAGTTGTAGTGAGTGAATATTTCTATAAAGTTAATAAGTAGAACGAAAATACGTAATGGACAAAATTAATGAAGGTGTGGCGGATCGCCCAAAAACACTGACAAGGAGACAGTAAACGGTACACAGTACTCGTATGCATGTACTTATAATACACGTTATAGCAGCACAACGAGAAAGACCATGTACATGTACCATAATGTTACATCAATAAATTTTACAGAGTTATTTCGGGAGTAGGAATGAAGATGTGTTCGAAGCAGTAAACTGCGTAAGCACTACGTTGAGCCACAATATTGAAATACAGTTTCCTGCAGTCAAAACAGGACACTCACACTTCTCTGGTCTAGTTCGCCATTCTTATCGCTAACATGACTTGATTTAATTTCTTACGATGGTTCTTGAGAATGGATCAATGTCTTGAATAGATGTCTTCCCTGAACGACTTTAACTGAGAGGCAGTTTCAGTTTCAACAAGCTGGACATTGCTTTTCTGTGGAGTCTTCCACAAGAAAGACAGAGCTACACACACGAAGGTGCTTGAAGCACTCAGTACCTTCTTTGAGATGAACACATTTTCTTTTCCATCTTCATTATATTTTCGTCTCTGCATCGTCGACGATGTCCACTTCTGACTCCGTAATCTTGTCACCCATCCTCTCCAAAAACACAAAGCGAGTGCTGCTTGTATGCTGGATCAGTTGAAATCAGTCTCCGTTCTAGCAAGATCGGCATGCAAGAAATTACTTGACTGAAAATATTCCGAAATAGCTTTTCTGAACGACGAAGTTTGCTCTTCAAATATGATGAATAGCACAATCTACTAGCCAGAACATCCCCTCAAAAGAGATACTATCTGAAGCCTGCAAGATTTTCGACCACCCTTCGTTTTGGAGAGGAGCCCACACACACCAGACTCGAGCTACAACTTGCAAGTAAACTATGCGGAGATCGAGAGTTGATCGAAATCTTTCTTGCTCACTTCTGAAACCTGTGAAGGAAAAAAGTATGCCGATGGCGTGAATGCCTACAGTTGAGTCGTAATATTTTGACGTGGACCCTGTGACCGTTCACAGAGCAAGTCGCGGCTGTTTGTGACTGGTCATCGGGATTCAAACTGGTGTGTGACTTTATGACTTGACAATGCAACACAATTATTGTGGAAAGGTCACAACAATAAGAGACAAGATCAAAAGGAAAGCTTTACAATAATAATAATAATAAAACGTAGCCTGTAAAATGTAAAAAGTCACTGAGTACAGTTTAATTCAATATCCATGTCCAGTATTTATAATAAAAATAATCTGCTGCAATTTATAGATTCTCACATGCGAGCAACCTGGGCCTCAGCAACAACCAGCTCAGCAGACTCCGGATGCCGAACCGATCGCTCACGGAAAAGACCCCGTGAACCCCGCAAACACATGATGCATGATCACAACAGGGCAAATGAGAGACGGCATCTGATGTAAGATATTACGTGGGAGTACTGCTCCTTCCTCCTTTCCGCTCTCAATAACGCGATTCGGCGATAGAGTGATGTCGCCGCTCTTCCCATGCCACCACTTGCCGACAGCACAACAGGCATGAACGTCGCATGCTCCACCTCTCTCACTCTCTCTTCATAACATCGTCGCTTTTCTTTTTCATGGCGCCGATAGACAGTGGTGTGTGGTGCAGATCGATTTGAGCGTGCATGAGGATTAAAAACCCGTATATCAAGTGAAGTACGCTCAAAACGACTGCCCCACAAACCACTGACCGCTACATCAAGCCGCGCATGCTCCTCCACAATAGCAGACCTGTATCTCATTCTCTCTCCAGTGAGTGGCTGCAGCAGTGGCTCAATGGAGACATTGTGACAGGTCTCTTGAAGGAGAGAGGCTGTCACATCCCGGATCTCATTATGGCGGATAATGGTAAACCCACCAAGGGGACATGACAAGGCATGGTCAATACCATTGTCCCGTCCACAAGAGCAATGAGTTGGTAACCTCGGCGGCATCCAACCATAACGGAGGCACAAGCCGTCCATGAACTCAACTTTGCTCAGTGAAAAGCCATACTTTTTTGATGGACGGCAAGTCAGCCAACTCGAGGCGCCGGGTTCACGGGCGAGGACAATGGTGTGTCGCAAGGCGTCCGACGCATCATTGCTGATACGCCGTGCCGACTCCGCCTGGCTATGACGCACTTCCTTCTTCCTCTTCGCCTTCTCCCGCTGGATGCCAATCAGAGAATTCCCAATATCAGAAACACGATCCACAATACGCCGACGCCGACAGACGACTCATACTGGGCGCACAAAGTCATCGGGCTGACCAGGCTTTATGACTGCTCTTCGGGGATTTGTGACTGTTTGATTGGTCACGGGGATCGTGATCGGTCATCGAGACGTGACTGCTCACTGAGTCCTACATATACGGTAAATATTGTACTGTGAACTCTGTACGGCAAGTTCTGCCACATGCACAGTTTGTAGCCTCAGACCCTCTAGGTTTACACAGCCATGCCAGAGCTCGCTTTTTTCCCAACTGCTGCATACTGCTCTCCCAATAATGAAGTGCGCGTGCTCCGTACGATGTTGCACTGCCACGTTCACTTAAGCCTAGTTCACATTCGACGCAACGCCGACGGTACGGGACGTAAAGGCTTGTCGGGAGGGCTGGGGTGAGCTGTAGTCTTTGTGGTCCACTTCAAATTCACAACAATAA